TATTAAATTGGGGGATGTAACAAACAACTCACTTTTGCCGGAAGGAACGGATTGAGAAAAGACCCACCGTGATGATAGCAATGCAAATGCTTGATGCCACAAATGCTTTCCAGTTGGCCTTGCCTGCAAAGTTAGCAAATCTTGTTATGGTGTTATCGTCAGTAAAGACTTCAAAAGTCTGACTTTTGTGAATCCTCTGGACCTTAACCCACAGTGCCTGGGTAGTTGGGTTTAGGAACAAAGTCAACTCACTTCTGACTATTCAGTTAGAAGGACACTGTGGGGACCCAGCTGTATATATTCTAAGAGGCATCCAGCCCTGCAAGGGCTCCCCCAGCTCACAGGTGTCGAAGGAGTATTCAGTGGTGGATATAAGCCTCACAGGGCTTCCTGGATGAGGGGTAATATTTCTACTGCATTTTGAAAAATGAGTTGACAAGTCTTCAAGTAGACAGTGCGGTGGGAGGGCAACATATAGTGCGGTGCGGTGGGAGGGCAACATATAGGTTAATAGCAAGTGGGAAGTGCCTGCAAGAAAGACAGCAGTGAGGTAAGAAAAGTTGAGTAGGAATGTGTCTATGTTAGAGTCCACAGTGGACTGGCTGTCTTCATTTTCTTACCCTGGGGACAAAATTCCCTTTCGTTTCCTTGGGGACTTTCACCAGCAGCAGTCAGAGCTGTCATCCATAGGACGTATGTCACTCCAGGCTGCAGGCTGCTTATTGGATGTGAATTTTGGGAGTGTCTGTATGGGATTTCTGAAAGGAAGACAAAGGAAAACAAGGCTGTGTAAAGAAAATAAGCAATGTAGGTACTCACCTATTTTTATTTTTAATGCATCTTTTAATTTGAGAGAGAAGCATATTTGCCTCCTATGTACTATCTCCTGGGTTGCATCCTCAGCATCTGTCAAGCTAGAATGTGAACAGCAGTAGCTGCTGGCTCACTCAGCCAGCCTGTGCCTATGCTGAGGACAATAATGGAAACTGGAACTGAAGACTGGATCCAACTTCATCAACGGCCCATGAACAGTCACAGATTTGTGTTGCCCGCTCTGAACACACAGCATCACCTCAGAGAATTCACCATGTAACAGGAAGAACAGACTTTGTCCACTCTTCTGTTCTACTTAACTATGGGTAGATAGTAAGAAGGAGCCCTGGAAAATTCCCTCTGCCCCACTAAAAAGGGTTGAGGCATGAGCAGATCATTTCGTAGGCTATATTTTACAACTTTTTTTTTGTATTTTACAACCTGTTGAGAAAAGTATCTTGTGGAAAATTCCAAGGTCTGCTCAAATTGCTTACACAGACTTAAGCAATATGATTAAGTGGGTGTGTGGGGATCCCTATTCCTAAAGGAGGGGATTTAAAAAAAAAAACAACTTTCTTTTAGGAAGCGCTTCTGTTCATCTTGCAGGCACCAGGGAGTCAGCTGTCCAACTGTGTGAGGTGTTCTGCGCTGAGGAAGTGAGATGAGACACTGGAACAGAAAGGAAGGGATTTCTATGGTTTGCTGGGCTGGTTTGCACATGCCTATTTGAAGAACAAAAATAGCAGCTGATGTGGGGAGGTGAGAGTGGCAGAGTCAGCAGTTTTGTTGGCAAAATAGGCTAAGTTGTGTAATGAGACAAGTCAAGCAAGAAAGACTGGTCCTGCTGCCTCTGGGCTGTGATCCCAGGAGAGATAAAGGGGTCCCTTCAAACCTCAGTGGATCGAAATTTAAACTCAGGTGGTTCAGTAATAAAGGGATGAATTTAGAAGGATGTGATCGCTGCCAACTCTCTGAAAGAATGTGGCTATGAAGGTCAAGAAGAGTAGACCTGAACAGTTACACTGATTCTGAGAATGAATTCAACCATTTGTTATTCAATGGATACCCTGCTTACTTAGTAAGTACACCTACCATCTCTCTGGTTGTGTTCTAGAGGAAAGAAATGGTGATTGAATTGCTACAGCTTGTGTCCTTGAATGCTCAGAACTTGTTCGCAAAAACAGGCAGGCAGAGGCAAGTGTCCTGCAGAAGGGAGGTTTTTGCAGTTGGAGCACCAGTGCATGTGGCCATGCCAGCAGATATCCCGACAGCAGGCTGTGCACTGATGCCAGGGCACTCTTAATTCTTCACCTCACCTGTCCCTGTAAAGCTAGTGTAGTGACAAAGAACTGATACTTCCACATGCGTTTGCATTGCTCTATGGGACTGAGTAATGTAGTGGTATTTGCTGCGCCCATGACCTTGGGCTGTAGGGCCCGAAGGAGGTGGTGTTTCCTGCCCTTGTACATGACCTCTTAAAAGGAGAGGGAGAAGGGTCACATGTTCTTTAACTCTGGCATGATCAGACACCAGCAGGCCTGGGAACTGAATCTGGGTCCTCTGGAACATCAGTCAGTGCTCTTAACCATAGAGCCATCTCTTGTACAATGCACCCATAGCCCAAGGTCATGGGTGGAGCAAATACCACTAGACTTTTCTAGTTCCTCGGCACACTGAATGCTCTGAGGCTAGGGAATGGGGCTTAGTCACTAATGTGTGCTTACTGGAATAAGTGGGAATTTAATCTAGACTAGTAAAAAGTCAGACTGTGAATCTTGCCTTTTAGCTTATTTAAAAATACCCTTGTGTAGGCTCTACATGCATCAGATCTGTGAGAAAATATAGTAGGTTATTTTCAACACCTACAGCAACAGCTACAAGGACCAACTAACCACACTGATCTTTGTGGTTGTGAATGGGCATTGGCTTAGATTTTGCCAAAAGGAAAATCATTTCTGGGGCAAATATTACAGGAAGGATCCCAAATACCCCATGAAAAGGCCAGTTGATTGGCCAGCCTTTAGGAGGCCTCTTAGAACTGTCTTACCCTGACAGGCCTGGTGACAGATTAGCTAGCAAATGACAGGAAGTCTACAGAGCTGTTAATTAAGAATGAATCAACTCACAGACAGATGTGGGGAGATCATCGAAAGTGCAGATCCATATAGAAAAAGATCCCAAGCACATTTTTGTGTGTGTTATTCGCACCCCCCCCCCAGAGGAATATACACAGAACAGCCTGAGAACTTTTATTTTCTCTGAAAACTAATGTAAAAATTAATAGTGAGAGTCATAACTGAGAGAAAGGTCAACAGAGAAGACAACTCTTCTTAAGGTTCCTAGGCAAAAAGCTCTCCTGTGGCAACACTCTGGAGCCTACCACTCAAGTAGTCTTATATTTCTCAGCCAATAATTCCAATGACGGGATGAAAATGCCCCTTCTTTCTAACAAATGCTCCTGAAAGAAAGCCAGCTGCTTATGAAACAGAGAGGGCCAACCCAAGAAACAACAAAAAATAAAAACAAAGCAGCTCTGATTAGATCAAAGATCTGAAGAGCAGAACTCAAGTGACTAGTTACTTGAAGGAATGATTCATGAAACCATTTGAAATAATGCTGCAGCCAGAATTTATTGTAATTGTTTGCTTTTCCAGCTGTAGAACAATTATAGGTCATAAAGAGTTATCTAAATTATGCTGTATTTTATCTATTCCAAGAAGAAAATAATATGGTAATTACAAATGTGAAGAGTTAAGAAGTATCTGAATGTTTTGAGCCTCAAGGACGTATATGATTAGCACTGACGCGCCTTTACTGTTTGTTTCATTAAATTGTCAGCTCTACTTTGACAATCAACATCATCAAATACATTATAATTCTGAGCTTTCTTGAGTGTCATATTCCTCTTGTTTAAAAACTCAGGATAAACCAGGAGTTTGGGGTTGTAAAACTGGATTTTTTTTTACCTTTTACCTGTCTTTATGTTTTTTTTTTTTTTTAACCAGTTCAACAAATACACAAGTGTTATTATTTGTCATCTGCTTTGAGACAGAGTCTCACTTTGTAGCCCTGGCTTACCTTGTCTTGCCTTAGCTATCCTAGTTTGGTCTTTGGGAGCAGGCCCTGTAAGAGGTTAGTCCACTCATTTCATTTCTATATTTTAAACAATTTGCTTAGCATGTAACACATATTCAATATCTTTTCATGTGTGCATTTAGGTGTCTTTTATTTTTCATAATTCAGCTCATTTCACAAGTGCTGACTTAGTGCTAGCACTTGTGTAGAGTGGAGACATGCCTAATCTGTGCTTTTCCAACATCTAAACAGGAGGCCCCACAGCACTTGGTTTTCACACATACCACAGAGTTCAGGCTGCCCAGTAGAGTTTCGTTCTTTCCAGTATATTCTGTAATGGAGGATGCAGCCCACTGACTCCTCGACTGGGATATGGGACCAGGAAATCAAAAGGCTCTCCTTTTTCTCTATGATGTCAGTGATCTGAGGGCCAGTCAGTGGTGCTGGGGAAAAGGACACAAGAGGTTTCTGTCACCCTCCAAATCCAAACCACTAACCGAAGCTTGAGTGAAAGATCCTAAAGGTCACCTTTGTGGCTGGAGTCACCCAGGGTGGAGCTGCAACCCCCTTGGTCCTCTGACAGTGCATGCACCCGGATTTCATAACAGGTGTAGGGATAGATGTTCTCTGCACGAGAAAAAGTCATGTTAATACCTGCATCTAAGTCATTTTTAGTTTTCCTTAGTTTAAAGATTGAAGAGCAGTCTGGACTGAGAATAAAGGGATGGCCTAAGTTAGAATTTCCCAGCATCTTATGTCAATGATGCAAGCTTCTAGGTACCACTTCCAAGAAACATAAGGGATTTTATTTATTTTTGTAATAAATTCTTTTTATGTAGCCCAAACTGTCTTCAAATCCACAGCAGTCACCCTGCCTCAGCCTTCTTAGGCCAAGAGTTCAGGCATACATTACTATGCCTAGTTTCTTCATTTAAGTGACCAGAGTAACTGTTCTTTTTTTTTAAATTAATTAATTTTATTTTATTTTACAATTCCATTCAGTTCTACATATCAGCCATGGGTTCCCCTATTCTCCCCCCTCTCACTCCCTCCCCTTACCCCCAGCCTACCCCCCAATCCCACCTCCTCCAGGGCAAATCCTCCCCCGAGGACTGCGATCAACCTGGTAGACTCAGTCCAGGCAGGTCTAGTCCCTTCCTCCCAGACTGAGCCAAGTGTCCCTGCAAAAGCTCCAGGTTTCAAATAGCCAACTCATGCAATGAGCACAGGACTTGGTCCCACTGCCTAGTTGCCTCCCAAACTGATCAAGCGAATCAACTGTCTCACCTATTCAGAGGGACTGATCCAGCTGGGGGCCCCTCAGGAGTAACTGTTCTTAAAAAGGAGATAAAAGCCTTTAAAAAGCTCTAATGAGGATTTAAACATATCCATACAAATACAAGCATACCGAATATTGGATTCTACAAATGAGTCACTTGTTTATATGGAGTTGTTGGAGTTTTGCAGGTATAGCACCTCAGTGGCTTTCATATGGCACACTGGTTTGTGACTAAGGGGTGTTTGCAATGCAATCCAGCCCCTGGTTCCTGCTCTCGGCTCCCCTCCAGTTAGATCTCAGTTGTCTTACAGCCTCAAATATTAAGGTAATTTCCAGGAATGTTAATGCTCCTTTCTAGCTTTGAAATGCTATACTTTGCAATTTTTTTTGTCAGTCAGTGACTCTTTCCCATCCAAAGTCCTCATTGTACTGCCTGTGAAGGATGGTAAAGTCCTTATAACACAGCCCATGATGTGCCTTTAAAATTCCAAATCTTGCTGGGCCTGGTAGCACACACCCAGCACTGGGGAGGCAGAGGCAGATGGGTCCTTGTGAGTTCAAGGCCAGCCTGGTCTACAAAGCGAGTTCCAGTATAGCCAGGGCTACACAGAGAAACCCTGTCTTGAAAAACCAAACCAAACCAACCAACCAAACAACCCCCAAATTTGCCGGGTGGTGGTGGCGCACACCTTTAATCCCAATACTCAGGAGGCAGAAGCAGGTGGATCTCTGTGAGTTCGAGGCCAGCCTGGGCTGCAGAATGAGTTCCAGGAAGGGCTCCAAAGCTATACAGAGAACCCTGTCTCAAAAAACAAAAACAACAACAACAACAAACACCCCAAAAAACCCCCAAATTCCAAATCCCCTCCATCTTATTTTTAGTTGTGTGGGGGTGGGGTGGGGGCGGGGGTGGTGCTCGCGTGGATGACCAGGAAGACCAGAGCCAACAAATCCTCTGGAACTGGAGTTACAAGGTGTGTGTGTGTGTGTGTGTGTGTGTGTGTGTGTGTGTGTGTGGGGGGGGGCGGGGGTGGTGGGGGCGGGGGTGGCTTGGTGTGTCTGAGGAAGCCAGAATAAGAAAGGCATCAGATCCATTACAGCTAGAGTGACAGGCTGTTGTGAGCTGCCTGATGTGGTTCCTTTGGGAGCGCAGGAAGTGCTCTAAACTTTTGAGCTATCTTTAGCCCCTAAACTCCAAATCTTGAAGGCACAAGAGAGATGATTCTCACTAGGTAACTATAGTATCAGGTGCTTAGTGCTGCCTGATGGCTTACTTGGGTACCTCTACACTGATAATTGACTAGGATTTAATGTCTTTTTGGGGTGCAGAGGAATTTTACCTCACACAATTATCGATTAAATTGTGTGTGTTTACATGAAAGCCCACTAAATCATCACACAACCAATGTTGGAAGAGAGCCTGACAAGATAAGATTCATATGAGAGTGGGTGCCAACTGGAGTTCATAAACCAGAGAAAGTGGAGAAGACACTTGCCACCTTAGCCTGTAGAGTGCCATGGGATCCATGCTGAAGGCAACGGAGGATATGGAATCACACTTCCTTGGGAAGGGTCTGGCAAGTGGCTCTCATTTCCAGTGTTTGGTTTACTTTACTGTCCCATGTCTTGAGAAGAGCCAACTGACCCACTGCCCTGTGGAGATCTGTGAGTTCCTGATGAGCCTTGCAAAGCAAAATGTGAGTGAGGGCACTACTATACTGATCAGAAGCTGGGTTTTTGCCCCCTGTGAATTGCCTGTCCTTAGTCAAGGAGGAAAGATAACGTGGCTGTGCATCTTCATTGACATTTTCTCTTTCAAGAAGAGCAGAGCCTTCCTACCAAACTTTTTACTGATTTTGGCCTTAAGGAGACACTTTTTTTTTTTTGGATCATTTTGTATGAACGCTCCCTACCCCCACCCCACTCCTATGGGTATCTACTCCCCACCTTAAGAACCTTTAGTGGAGGAAGCCCACCTGCAGAAGACTCTCATTTCCTTTGCAATATGACCCAGTTTCCAAGCTCATTTCATGTTACTATGCTGACCTATATGCACAACACCCTTGGGCAAAGGCCTTGTCTTTGTTTATAAGCTATTCTACAGACTTTTTTTTTTTCCTCTGCAGAGATTTAGTTTCATGTCAGGTGTGGGAGAATATAGGCAACTCTTCCATGAATAATGTACTCAAGAGTCATTCTGTACACACCAAGACTAGCTTGTGAGGGACACAGCTACCCTAGGTCTCAGGGGAAAACTTCCAGACACTGAGATACAGTGGGCAGACAGGATGGGTCTGGTAGTCTCTAGCTCCACCGTCCCACAGTCTAGGAATCAGGTTTATTCTGACTCATTCCAGGACATCTGACACTGTCCATACAGCCAGAGTCAGAAAAAGCTTGTAAGGATCCAGTGGCATTAGAAATAACATTTGAATTCATGGTAAGTAGCAATTAGTGAAATTTTCAATTCAACAGAAAGTGATAGCAAACTTAATATTTCCCAAGTGGCAGAACAATCATAATCAGTTATTTTGCAACTTTATTAAGTTGGCTTTATTCAAATGCATAATTCAAAAGTGACTCAGAATATTTTATTTTACTAAGTATGGAGAACATGCTTGTCATCAACTTTATGGTATTTGTATAGAATTATCTGATTTCCAAAAGAAAGGCAAGGTTCAAATTGTCCATGAGGGATGAATTTTGATATTACCTCCCAGATGAATTACTGCTTTTCTTGTCTGTATGCCATTTAATTTGGTGGGTGTGATATCACCCTCTCACCCTCCCAGGGAGACTGGTACTACTGTAAAGCCTCCAGCTATCCCAGAAGAAAGTCACAAAGCTGCTCTCAAATTTGATGCCTCCTTCTGGGGTGTAGTAGTGAACACATGTCTTCAATTCCACCACTCAGCAGTCAGAGGCAGGAGGATTTCTGTGAGTTCTATGGTAGTCAGGACTAGAGTGAGACCCTGTTTCAAACAACAACAAAACTTGATGCTTTCTTTTCTTACCAATCTTGCTTTCTTGAGCAACCAAGGAAATACACACATACTTTTGGATGTATATATATTGAAACCAGCAACAATAATCAAACTGCTGCCTCATCCCTTCTAAAATCTCTTCTATGGGCTAAATGGTTTCCAAATGAAAAGTTCTAGATTCTCTGTGTCTTGCTTTTCTTTTTCTGGATGCTCAATTTATTTGGACTCCTCCTTAAGGGTTAGTAAGGAGATCATAACCCGTTAAAGTTTGGGCAGGCAGGCCATAGAAGAGGCACACAGTTAAGGATCAGCCCATATGTTATTGTATAATACATTTTTCTCCAAGTAAAGCTTACCTTAAGCAGATTGTATACATCCCCCTGGAGAGGTGGAATGATTTTCATGGTGGAACAATAATATAGTTTAATGTTTGAAGCTTGTAAACCTATTCAATTCTTATTTCTGACACATTTAATAATAATCACTTGTTAGCTAAATTATTCAGTACTTGAAATATGCTAAGCACTGTTCAGAACATCTTCCATATATTAATGCAGTCAGTCCTCATAACCACTCAGATGAGAAAAGAGAGGCAGAGCAGAAATCTGCCTAAGATCTCTCACAAGTGTTAGTGAGGGAGTCATGACTCAGTCCTGCGTAGGTTGTCTGTATAGCCAGACCGTGAACCACAATGCTGAGCTTACATTTAATATGACATTAGGTTCGCTAGTCCTTTTAATATGTTTTCAGATACTTTCTCTCACTTTATTGCAACCCCTGACAGAAACCTCACTTAGGAATAGAGATCCCAATTATGATATAATAGTTCAAATGTCAAATAGCAGGATTGGGAATGAGGATCTCCTGGTTTTGTTATCTGTATCATGGGTTTAAAATAATGACTCAATGCACAAAATTATTTTGAGCTAAATGACTTTATAAAGATAAAGGTATTTGTTTCATCGACAAGTTAATTTAGGTTTCTGCCATACTTATTTGGTTCAATTATTATTTCATCTTACTGGGTATGGTACTAGGGGACATAATTCTTCCATGAACATAAGACTTCTTAAGTTAGTTGGTCCTCAAATTAGTCCTAAGGACAGTCTTTGCTTTTTCAAGACAAAGTCTCACTATATAGCTCTCACTGTTCTGGAATTCACTCTAGACCAGTCTGGCCTTGAACTCACAGAGATCTGCCTGCCTCTGCCTCCCAAGTGCTGGGATTAAGGGCGTGCACCACCACATCTGCCTTACAGGGCAGTCTTGATGGACTCCAGGTTCCCACTGTGTAGGACTGCAGTAACCCTCTGTAACTGAAGGCAAAATTTCTTGAGATCTCCCCACATGTCTTAGGGTTTCTATGACTGTGATAAAACACCATGGCCAAAGGCAACACGGAGCGGAAAGGGCTTGCTTCATCTTACAGCTTCCACCATCCAAGGAAGTCAGGGCAGGACTCAAGGTGTGATTCTCAAAGCAGTGTCTGACTGACGCAGAGGCCATGAAGAAACGCTGCTCATTAGCTTGCTCCCTACAGCTTGCTCAGCCTGCTTTCTTACAGAAACAGAACCATGTGCCCAGGGGTGCCACCACCCTCTGTGGGATAGGACCTCCCACATCAATTGTTAAGACATAGTCTTGCCTACAGGCCAATCTTATGGAGGCTTTTTCTCAATTGTGGTTTCCTCTTCTCAGATAACTCTTGTTATCGGGTTAACACAAAACTAGCCAGCACAACAACAACAACAACAACAAAAAAAAAAAAAAAAGAAAAAGAAAAAAAGGAACTTAGTGGCTCTCTAGAAGGAATGTGAGCAGTGAGGTACCTGAAATCAGAGCAGACATGTTGTAGGGAGGGATCCGCAACCAGTGTGGGGGAGACCTCCTGGTGTTTCCTGGCTGTAGAGCCCTCCACTCCACTATGAACTCCTGAACAGCAGAGGCAGCTTTCTGGGGAGGCTGCCAGGTCACCACAATGTTGTTCATGTCCTCTGACCTTGCAGATACCCAGGAAGGAGCCAGCAACCCTTTGGGGGTGAGGAAGAGGAAGGACAAAATGAGAATGGATAAAGATGAAAACAGGAACTGGGAAGACATCTCAGTCGGTCAAGTTTTTGAGGACACGAGTTCAGTCCCCATATCCCACTGGGCTAGACAGGGTTGGCATGGTGGTGCACGTTGGTCCTCCTAGTCCTGGGGAAGTGGGCCAGGAAGATCCCTGGGGCTATCCAGCCAGGCAGACTAGCCTACTTAGTAAGCTCCAGCTAGTGAGAGACTTTTTTTTTTTTTTACAACAAACAAAAAGCAAGGTAGATAGTGCCTGAGGAATGACATCTACCTAAGGTTATCCTGTGGCTGTATATGCACACATGCATCTGTTCATGCATGAACACACACACACACACACACACACACACACACACACACACACACACACACACACACGAGACAGCTTATCCCAGCTCAGTCTTAGAAACCATCAATCTCTCTTTTTGGGACTTCCAGGTCAAGGATTAAGTTTATGTTTTTCAGTTCATGGGGGATTAGCCTCAGCAGCTTGTCCTATAATCCTGTGTAGCTTTCTTTGTGGGTTTATTTCCTCTTTGTCTTCACTTACTTCATTCCCTCAAAGCGCTTACTTCGTTAAATGTAATATACACCCTTTTAATGACCGCCCACCTGTCTCCTTAGACGGAAATGTGTCACTGAAATGCAGTGTGGCCCTTTGCTTGGCTGTGGTGTTTTCCCACAACAGACTATTTTGTCAGACCTTTTCACTTAGCTTTCTGTTTCTGGGATAGATTCCTCCTCCTTCTCTGTAAAGCCAGCTCACTCCCTCACACCTCTGCCTACGCCCTTTTCTCATCTGCTTCCCAGTGGCCAGCAGGAGTGTGCTGACACAAAGACACGGGGACTGGTCTCTGCAGGCCCTCTTGTGCATGTACAAGACCATTCTGGATGAACGTGCGCAAAACTGCTTGCTTAGGGAGTGTCCTTCTGCTTGATCTCCACAACAGATGGATGAGAGGAGGATGTAGCTCTTGCCCAGCCTGAGGAAGGCACTGGACACATGCACAGAAGGTAAAAAAAATTAACAGCATGTTGACACTTCACCAAAAGTAGCTAGCCCGAGGACTCTCACTTCACCTACACTTTGTATTTCCCTACTTTCTATGTATATCAATTTGATACACATAAAATGATATGTGATTAGAGGTTTGATTTTCATGTTTGTGAAAGTTTCATAAGGCCAAGCTTCTCATTGACTTTTCTTCTGTGACAATTTGTGGACTTGGCTCATTTTTCTCTGTGATTCTGCCTTTTTATGATTGACAGGTAGCTTTGATGATCCTAATTACTTTTCAGTTTTCTACTCTTAATACAGTCAGTTAGTTCTCTGACAACTTTGTTATCTGCAGTGGTGCTGGTAAATTTACCTCAGTTTTGATTTTGAGTCTTGTTTGTAAAATTCCACCACCCCGGGGCTATAAATACATTCAACTACATTGTCTTCTATTGGCCTTTACTTCTGCTTCTTATGCTTAGGTTTTCAGTCCAAAGTATAAGCTAAAAGGGTTATTTTTTTTAAAAGGGAAATGATATTATTTCTTTATGATTTCCAGGGCCTGTGAGTCTGTGTGGTAAACTGCACAGACATACCTCACCTGCTAGTCCTTAGATATTCGCTTTTCCTTTCAATTCTGGGGGTAGTGGCTTCCCTGGGGTTTTACTTCTCCGATGGGTAAAAGAAGAATTGGATAATGGGAAGAGTATGATGAAAGTACATGGTAAATATGTATGAAAATGTCACAATGAAACCTATGAATATACACTAATAAAAATAGCAGAAAAATTCTTCTTAAGTAGAAAGGAAAGAAAGATATTTTATGCTAGCCCTCCAGTTACAAGTAGAAATATTACTAGCTAGAAAAAAAAAAAGCCTTCATACCCTAAGAACAAAGCATTTACTTAAGAACAATAGAAAACTATAAAGCAAAAGGCACTTAATGACAACAAAAGAAGTTTCCTAGGTGCAGACATTTATTTCTATCTGCAGTGGGGGTCAGGAAGGAGGGAGGGAGGAGGAAGAG